CCCACCTCTGAAGCCAGCGCTGCGCGGGTAACCTCCCCCGCCGCCGTTGTAGCGAGCCACTTTCGGGGGGCGAGGGCCGTCTCCAAACCTGGCAGAGAGAAGCAGCACACGTCTGACACAATTCACCGGTGCCATTCCTTACAAGCCCAGCAATACAGAATTTCAAAAAGGCGCAGTTAACAGGCCTGTTTTCTGTTTATTCAATTGTACTTGAAGGGTGCCCTTCCACATGAGCAAAGAAAAGCCAGAAGCAGCCAGAAGTGTTGCAGGAGCAAATCCTCAGTCAGGTCTATGCCTGGGGTAGCAAATTTTCCTCCCAACCCAGCTTCTCCACTCACACAGATGAGTGGGGAGCTCAGTTCCTACCTATGTGCACAGGGATCTTTATTTTGCTCCTCACACATCAGTGAGGTACAATATTTGAATCCTTTTGCTAACAGCTTGCACGTATTCATTTTTCTTTGTCTCAGAAATAAAACGCTAGATTAAGCCTTAAAGCTCAGCTGAAACACTAAATTAAGTTATGCAGGGGTGCAAGGGGAAAACAAAGCAGCCAAATGTTTACTTTGATTCCCAGGGACAGGGATGACTAGGTTTACCCAGAATAAATTTGGATCATCTTTTCTTTGAAAGTCACTATGTTTTGGAACAAGTGATGAAACGTGTCAGGAAGCAGCGCTGTTACCATGGAGCGCCTTTGTCCTTCCCATGGAAGCAGCCAGTGATTTGTCTGCACCAGACTCCGCACAGGACAATTTTACGTACACTCAGACCACAGACATCCAAAGCAAAAGGCTTCAGGTCCTGTCCACAGCGGACGGTTCTGCACCCTGAGCTCTGGGTTTCCTTGGCCCCATGCAGGGTAAGCAGGGCTGCAAGCTTGAGACTGCTCCAGCTCTGAGTGTTCCCCCCGGGGGCTGCAGCACGTGCCCTTCCCTAGGGCTCCAGGGACACAAGCAAGCAGGGCTGAGCTAACCTGGTGCTGGCAGCCATGAGGTGGATGCCCGCAGCCGAGGGCCTGGAGATCTGGCGGATCATGTTCAACATGCGCTCGTTTCCTGGGTCCAGCTGCCTCATGATCTCGGGATCTTTAGTTACTTCCACAACGAGGGCTTCCACTGCAGCGCGCAGAGCAGTGATGCAGGTCGCTGCGGTATGGGACATCTTCAGTTTGATCCTAGAGCACAGTTACACAGTTACATTAGATGTACTGCTGCTACCAGGAGATAAATTGTTCAGAAATAGTTTCCATCAATTAGTCTTTCACTAAGCACTGCATATACAACCAGAAATCTATATTCTCATCTTTGAAACTCACATCTGCTGTGGGGAAATGTAAAATTCAAGAGGGAGTTGGCCAGATCTCTAAAATTTGACATTGTTAAAACATCTACTATCCTTCTGTTTAACTTTGCTCTTTAGATGTGGAACATTCAAGTAATACCAATACATAACCTTTGGCTTGAAAATGCAGGCTATTTTTGGAGCATTTGTACAAAAACATAAAGTAATCCAAAAAGCTTCAAGATTTTGAAGGCTACAGGGCAACCTCACAAATACTGCTTACTGGAAAAGTGCATTACTGACTGGAAAAGTATAATCCACATAATACTTTGTCAAGGCCATTTCTCTACTCAAGCTGTATTTCTGAGACTTAAAAACCAAGGTTCCATTAGCCTCTCTCTGAAGGGAGCATCCAAAATCTTATTCAGGTTCCAGTTAAAGAAGAAAAAAATAATAGCTTTCACAGAAATTGCCTGGTGCCATGTTTTTAATTCAAGTAGACGATTTATACAAAACAGTACTTACAAAATAACCCCCCGCCCCTTCCTCATACAAACAACGGAAAGTATCTGTCCTGCCTGCCTGGCTTGCTCTAGGAACCCTATTCTAGAGATACTCATCTGAATATCCACTAGCACCACGCAAGGCCCTACCAGTCGTCCACCAGAACGAGCTCCCCATCAGACAGGACCTTCTTGGAGGCAAAGAGGAGCAGCTGCAGCGGGCTCACCAGCGTCATGGCTTTGGCAGAGATGGCTCGCGTCCGGATCTGCAGATGGAAGGGAACAGGTTAGGCCCTTGTGTAGTTTTATTTTGCAAGAGCCATCTCTAGCTACGACGATATAAAAACGACCAGCACATAGCTGAACTATCTCCCCAGCTTCTGCACTGCTGGCTGCTTTTCTTCAGCAGGGTCCTGCATATGCAAAATCTCTAAGCTGCTGTGCAGCTCTGCTAACATCGCCGCTGTTGTTTTACAGAAATGAGACTACAAGCTCGTACTTGAAGCGAGCACTTTGCAAACAACAAGGTTATCTGACAGGAAACAGAGATAACAGCCTCACTACCCAGGCAACTTCTCCATTCACTTAAAAGAGCAGCACTACTTTGGATTTCAGCCTCCCACATCAAACACTGCATCTCTCCTCCTTTCGGACATGATGGCAATGGGCAGAAGCGTTTTCCTACCCTGGGAACCATGAAACGTTCAAAGCTGAAGTTTCCTGAATGGAAGCTGGGCCAAAAGAACAGCTACAGCAGATAAATGGACCACAAGCCTCAAACAAACTTGCTTCTTGTAGGTGCGTATCAGAGGGGAGAGAGCTGCACACACAAATCCTTCTTTCACCACAGTTTACCCAGCCACTCTCAATTTTGCCCCAGTATTTTGCTGTAGTTTTTCTGTCAATTTTGTTAATTCTAATAAAACACAGCTTTTTGAGTTCAAAGGTCTTCGGATCTATTCAGGGAGTTCACCTTACATAGCGAAACAGTCTGGGCAGACCAAAGCTCTGCCCAACTCAGGTCCTATCATACAAGATGAAGGAGAGGTGAAGCCCCACCATCCTTCTGAACTGTCAATGTGAAAATCCCAAGCCTAAAGGAGCCCAAAGTCAAGTGCTTTGTCTGTCACCAGTTAAATGTCTCATATGTCAGCAAAAAGAAGATAAAAAAAAAATCAGCATAAAAAAGGAATTCAGAACTAATGTGTAGGGAGCATGACAAAAAGAATTACATCTACAGTGTCACTTCTGTTTCAAGACCTTCAGACAGTTTCTTCACAGCAAGGCACCTCATTATCTTGATGCTTATTCCGAGACCTTTACAGCCCTTTCCGACAGGCCTGTCGGTAGCTCCTATGCACAGCCAGCTCCAACAGTCGCAGGCAGCACCAGAGGGCCCCTGCCATCGCTCTGTCGGGGGCCCTGTGCAGACTGCACAACCAGCCTGCTCCTAACCCGCAGCCTGCTCCCCAGCGACGTCCCATACGGCATCACAGCCTCCATTTACTCCTTCAGAAGGGGGAGCAGGAGCAGTTGCATTTGCGTGCTCCAGGGATGGCAACCGAAGAGCAAACAGGGGTTTAATTGTACATGTACAATATGTGCTGTGTGTGCAAAACTAACAGCATGGAAGAAAAGGTCATAGGGACCCTGGGAAAAGTAATAGGTGGTTGCTCCAGAGCATCCCTGAACCCCTTCTTGTTCCTGAGAGACTTGAAAAACAGTAATTGCTCTGGTGACAGTTTGATGACTGACTACTTAGATGCCAGAAAGCTAACACCTCCCGGCCATAGCACCCTTTCCCACTTTTCCTCTAGATTCTTACGTAGCAAAACAGTAAGGACAGAAAATCGCTAGCGCCTAATAGTTCAGCAGAGCTCCCACAGCAGTCACTTAAGGAAGATGCTGATAAAATGCTTTTCTCTATGAGCTGCCTGTTTTGACCAAAATCAGAACTTTTTTTTTTTGCATCCAAGATTTCCACTTCTGTTGGATTTGCACAGCTGAAAATTACTGTGAGGACCAAATGGCATAAGGTTCACTTTCTGAAGAACACAAGCTAAACATTATCCAGTTTTTAGGAGGTTCTTTTCAGTAGAGAGGCCATAAGAACCAAGATACAACTTAGCTGCACGTGGTGAAGAAAAAATTCAAAATCTTTACCTTTTCTC